CAGTTCAGTCATGTGGGTTGAGGCATTAGAAGCAGAATAATGTAAGTCACAACACATAACAGCTGTAGTTGCTTCACCAATGTGGAATGAATGTCCAGAATAAGCACTGGATTCTAAGCCTGCCCTGGTGAGAGCAATGTTCAGCCGGGACAAGAAGACAGTTCTAGTAACAGCTCTAGAGTTGATTCCACGAAAGAGGATCACCGGGTCTTGCTCTGTTCGACTTCCTAACTTGAAGCCATGTCATAAGGGTCATGTAAGGACACACAGTCTTAGATGTAGCTAACAACGCTAGTTGCACACCCTTTCTGAAGGGATCTGTTTGGAAGCTTTTAAGGTAAGGATGTGTCTGTTAAAATTGCACATCGCTCACTGTTAGATGTACATCTGGATCAAACGACGAGGCACAAGTAAATTCTCCATGACGGAGAAATACAAAATAGGCAATTATGCACATGCATTGCATAGCCAAATCGTTGAAATATCCAAACACGCCTACTCGTAACTGAGCCACTAGTTTACATTTCTTATGTGGTTGATAGTTATTTTCAAAAAGAATACCAAACAATATGGTAGGGCTGCAACGATACACCTAAGTCACGATATGATACGTATCTCGATACTTACATCACGATTCGATACGTATCTCGATACGCTATGATACACATAGTGACAAGAGAAGACAAGAGATAAATGAATTAAACTTAGTTTGTTAAAATGAAAAATTAAATGAAAGTGAATGAATGTTCATGAGTCATAAAATATATACTGTAATGAGTAATTTAACTTAATAAATCATCTGCCATTTCCATGTAATGGCTAGCAAACACAAAAGTAACAGTCCTACATATTTGCGAGTTGTGACTAGATGGTAGGAGTAAATACTAAATGTACCAGTGTCCACTAACTAATGATTTGCCATTTTCATGTATAAAGGCAAAAAACAATTAAAAACAATTATAGCAACAGCCATGTTATACAACATTTGAAAGGTCTAATCCTAGTGTTTATAAATATGAAAGTTATGTTTATCACATTATTTAAATTATGTATTGACAACTTAATTAAGTTCGTTGAAAATTATAAAAATGTGAGCTAACACATTCATAACGTCCAAATTAAGGACCAAAGAAGCGAAAATTTGACGATTTGGGGCAAATATGAGATTTCAAAAGATCTACTTATCATTTCTTATTTATTTTCATTATTTACGTCATTGAAAAATTATTTTAAAAACAATTATGAATAGTATCTGTTTTCACCCATTTCCGGATAACAGCGGCTGTCCGCTCAGTAACATGAAGAGATACCTCCGTTTTCGAAAGCTTCGTATGAATAACACGTTTGTCGAAGAAAGCTTGTTTGTTCATCTTCACGCTCGTAACATTGCGGACCGTCTATATACACGATATCATGCAAATAGTGGACCATTGCCGTGCTATATACACGACTGGAAAACTCCCTTCTCCGCCGTGAGACGCGAACGCTGATTGGTCTATTAATTTCCTACACACAAACCTGGGTCCCGGTCTCAGTTGCGCTACGCTACATTGTACATTACTCCCCAAAATGTTAACTCTACACTATAGTGCGGACATCGTTTAAAATTGTAATTTCTTCTCTAAACATCTGTGAAGATATAAAGGTTTGCTGAGGTAGATAAACCAGGTATCACAGTTAGCTAAAAGTTTTGTAGTCGTAAAGACATGTTGTGAATATAGAGATCATAAATATTTGGAGTAAACAAACTTTACCAAATGAGATACTAGTTTAACGAATCAGAATATTTATAGTTTAGTTCTGTTGAACCAATTAAAATCAAAACATAATTTCCCCTCTTAAAATACTACGAACCTTCTGGTAAAACAAAATCTACGAACTTTCTGTAAAAGAGCAAGCAATCTGAAGCAAGCATCTATTTTCCGCGTTTATATTGTTAAGGCTGTGGCTATTTATACTGAAAAGATCAGGGAGTTAACTCTGAAACTAAATACTTCAAACAATCAAACTAATGTAAGCGATTCTTGGATTTGATATACATGTATGTATCTACATATGAAATATAACTATAAATGCATTGAATATGTGTGACTGTGTATCATATGTCAAACTTGAAATCTTACTTAACCTAACATTTGGAAGGGAATCCTGCGTTTTCCCATATCGGTTGCAGGATTAATATCTTAAAACCTTGTTCCAAAACTTATGCTTTGACAGACACTTTTTTTGGTATTTTGCAAATAAATGTAATTGTTGGCATTTAACTAGAATAATGTTAATGAACTTTTGCTGGAGGTTACAGTTAATGAATTTGTCATAATGAACAGACGTTGGCACTGAAATCACATAAGAGACGAAAACTACAGATATACAAGTATTGGAATGCTTGGTTTGACCTTATATCATATGATATATAATGTTCGTAATCGCTGCTGATAGATCAAATAATATAACCCGTGATAACATAACGTGTGAGTATCGTGTGCTGTTATTCCCACGATTTCGTGCATATTATGGTAAATGTTTCATTATTTACACGATATATCGTGTTAAAGTTCTGTTATTTACACGATGTCGTGCATATTGTGAGAAATTGTCTGTTATTTACACGATGTCGTGCATATTGTGAGAAATTGTCTGTTATTTACACGATGTCGTGCATATTGTGAGAAATTGTCTGTTATTTACACGATATCGTGCATATTACGAGAAATTGTCTGTTATTTACACGATATCGTGCATATTGGGAGAAATTGTCTGTTATTTACACGATATCGTGTACATTGTGGAATATGTACTCCTTATGTACACGATATCGTGCGAATAGACACAGCCGTAACATTGCCTGGAGTCTTTTCGTTGCTATAACATCAGATTTCATTGGATAACAAATTGTTTCTAACGACGCTTTCTTGCCGAAATCTGCTACAAGGTTCATGATTGGTCAAATTTGAGCACGTGACTTGAGACAGGCAATCAAATTACAAATCCTCGTGTACGATGAATTTCAGATTTTTACGAAATATTTTGGTTAAATCGTGTTATTCTGAACGTTTTAAGCAGGAAATCGCGATCTATATTAAAAAAATGGAGCTTCGTGGATGTATCATTTTAGGTTACAAGCTGTGACAAACATTTTTCATGCATATATTTTGGCATTGAACATCGTGTCCGAGCCGGGAATTCGAGGCGACGAAAGCCGAGATGTCATTTGACTAACATTACACGCGATCGCATGAAAAGATGGAAATAATAACTTAGCTGTAAGTTTGACCACTTTTAGATATATTTTTATTAATTTTATTTATCACTTTGTATAACATATTTAAAGATTTGCTTGAAACGTCTTTGTTTTGCTCTTTGACATGTTCGATGTGCACCCGTTGTCGAGTCCGAGAATTATATTTTCAATGACATTGCGGGAAATTGGGAATAACTTTTTAATCTATCGATAAAAAATGATAAATTGAAATAGAATACGTATTTCAGACATTGTGAGATGTGATAGATTTAATAAATGAATGGTATGACAGGTAGGTTCTTAAAACTATATACCATTTTGACGGGACTATGGCTTGGCCGGTTGACCGGCCTACGGACCCTAGGGACTCGATGCTTCTTGGCCGGTTTACCGGCCTACGGCGTTGAAAGAGTTAAAACACATTTAAAACGTATCTGTGATAAAAGTTTATTACAAAAAACAAAACTTACATATATACGTCTTTGAAAAAACGTATCGTGAAAAATCGAGATACAGCACCTCACAAATCGCACACCGTATCGTATGGAGTGAATCGCGATGCATCGGTGTCCCGGGATATCGTTTCAGCCCTACAATATGGTTTGTTTCACTATTTCATCGGTATTTTTACATGAATTAATTAACTGTTTCATTAGCTTTCTTATTAGCCTTGAAAACGCACAGTAATAAATGTACCGGAGTTGCTCACCTGGTCCCATAATATCGATGCGGTATCTCGCTTCGGTTACTGTCTTCTCATTCTGCAACTGAATCTTGTACATTGGGAAGCCAAAATTCTCTGATATATCTCCACATATCACACCCCTTCTTCCCCCACAAATTTTCTCTCGGTCACCAACTTTCGGAGATGGAAACACCGTCACTACAGTAATGTTTTGCCAGCTGGGGATTTCCTGTACTAGACGACCTCGGGTATCCCCGATCCGAAAATAGTGCCTTCAATTATTTTTAGCCAGCCAATCAAAACGCGATGACACAACTCTCCACTCTCAGCCAGCGAATCAGATTGGGTGAAAAAAAATTAACCACTGCGAATAAACCACTGCTGGCGATTGAAGATCAAGCCCTGTTAAAGGAGAACTTCCAACAATGATCCAGCAATAGATGAAACAGACACTGTAGCAGTAACCACGGCTGATCTCACTGCTTTTAACCTGACACGTTTCTTTACACTCGATGATTCGTCGTCCCTGTCTTTGGACGCAGATTTACACTCGTTACACCTGCCTACATAAACACGAAATTCCTCCTCAGACATCGATCATTGTCCTGATATTGGCAATGGCGATCACAACACACATTGTGTGGATCAAATTAAGAAAAAGTACATTTGCACAAGTTGGCGTTTCTCTATAGTGACTGACAATACGATGGCCAATGTTCGTAGGTAAATCAAAGCAAAACACACCCAAAGAATCTTCAATTCTTAAAGGCCACTGTCGGCAACTTGGTGATGAGGAAAAGACTGGTTTGGGAAGGTATACAAAGTGGTCAAGTAAGCTGCTGCACAGAATTGATTGGTGCGTGACCCAGATGGACAAGTGATGACCATGGTGATGAATAGGGATGTGTTGTGTTTTTTTCGAGGTTCGAAACTTTGTCCTGAGGCATTTCCACACCAGGATCAAAGAAGGCAGAGAGATGCATTATGTAAGATAGAATCAGTTTAGAAATTATTATTTTGTGGAAATGAATCATCAATGATGACATGTCCATAAATTCTGTCTTTCCTACTCACCTGATCTCGGCCATGATCACCAACAATGACAAACAATGATCTGTGCTTGTTGGCAACACCATTTTCTAACATCACTCGAATTCGATTGTCGATCTTTTTCCTGACCATCTTGAACTGTTGTAAAAGAGAAAAGGGCATATTCAGAGAAATCTTCATGATTATTTATATAAGATGCAGTTTGACAACTGTATGTCAACATATTGTTTTCACTACGGTGACCATCAAACTGTTCCCTTATCAAGAATTGTCTATCAATACCAGGCTGCATCAAGAAAAAAATTCATACGTCTACAATAAACAATGATTGGCAACAGAAAACAATGACAGAACCAAAACTTAATAAACAGCATCATTAATTTGAGAGAAAGCTGCCCAAAACATGGAAAGAGCAGCACTAAAAATCACATAGAACACAACATTCCTAACAATATATGTGCTGAACAAGAAGGAAGTTGAATGTGGCGTCACTAGGATCAACAAGGAACAAGTAAATCTATATCTTACAGAGCTAATATAGAATATTCTAGATGTTTACTATTATATATTATATTATAGGCGGATTTAGGAACATACTTATCTGCCCTTCATGCGCTAAGCCGTAGAGTTTTAGACAAATATAACTTCAGTGCATACACACTCCAGTCGCATGTAACAAAGGCCTGTTGTAACTGTTACAACAGATATAGTGCAGATAAGGTTGTTATCACCAAACCTTTTACATGCCATCTTCAAATCTTGAATGTTTTACAAATACTGTCTTATAAGAAATGTTAGAAACATGGCTTTCTAATGTCAAATGAAACGTGTTTCAACCCTGGCAAAACCGTCCCTTATATGCCCTATTGTAGTTGCACATTAATGTATTATTGATGAAAATGTACATCTAGCGGTGGCGAATTAAATACATTTATATTCTAAAAAGATATTTTTACTTTCATGTGAAGAAAGGTATTGTTTCATACTGTATTTACTAATCTCTGGTTTTGTACAATTGTATATAGTTTAACCTGATTATTATCTTGCCTTACCTAAGGTTATCTATTTGCCAAAATTACATCTTAAAACAACTAATCCTCAGTCACTTCTACTCAATGTATTTCAATTCCTTAATCTCTAAATCTTAACCATGTCTTGTTTTTTGTTCTCGATAGTAGGTACACAGAAACAGGTTACTGTTCCAACTTGTAAATGCCTCTCAAAGAAGAAACAGAAAATGATTTGATCACATATGAAATTCCTCCCCTTGGGCTGTTAGTGTAAAAGTTCACGGATGTAAACTTCTGTACGTCATGGTAAACAGTTCGATGTGAACAATTGACAAAGTAGTTAAAGATTGTGATTTGCAACCACATCTCATCAAAAAGTGAAAGAATAACGATTGAATTTACAGTAACAAAGTTTTCAACATGACATAAACCTTCTGTATTTTGATTTAATGTAGTTCCTCTGTAGATAAGGCACCTCTTTTCATTTGGAACCTAGCGCTTTCCTTTCTACCAAGAAGGCAAGTGAGCTTTGAAAAGGGTGACTCTCTTCTTTTGTTTGTTGTTTAACGCCGCAGTGGGCAATATTCCAGCTATATGACGGTGGTCTGTAAATAATCGAGTCTGGACCAGACAAAAGAGTGATTGACATCTTGAGCATCGATTCACGCAATTGGGTTACGATGACATGCATCAATCAAGTCAACAACCCTGACCACCCGATCCCATTATTCGCCAAGTGTCGTCGCCTTTTGTGGCAAGCATAGGTTGCTGAAGACCTATTCTATCCCTAATCTTTACGAGGGTCGATGATGCTTGCAAGCATATGTGTACAGCTCGAAATGGACATAGCGATACGTATGTCCTTGCCATCATCCTGATGTAGAATCGAAGCCAAAGCTGGGATGGTGAATAGCCTGTCGAGTTGACCAGTGAGTTGCTTCTTAGCAGTGAAATCCCATCGCAGACAAAAATGCCCTTTCCCTGGTTGTGCCTCTTGAATTGAATCCTGTTTACATCCAAGGTGTGTATCTTGCTGACCCTTGCAGCAGTATCCAGGGCTAGAAGGAGTCTTGTCTTGAGTGTGATCTGTTCAAAGTCTTTTTTCACCAAGGGTTCATACTCTGCTGTAGTCAGGTGTCGTTATATTATGTTCAAATTCCATTTGGGTGGAGGAAATCTGGACTACATCAATCTTCAGGTTTATTGATCAATCTACAGCGGCAATATCCCTCGAAGGCTTTCCATTTATTATAGCTTTTGTGGAGGCCCAATGGGCCTCTGTGATGGTCTTTGCTACTCACCATAAATAAACCTTTAGCAACTAAGGACTTCTCTAAATGAGCCAGACGCATAGATGAAGGGTGTCCAGCGATGGATGTAGTGGGCTGGAGTGAGGTTGAAGAAGATCCCTTTGCAAGGGTGAGGTGAGGTGAAATTGGGTTTAATGTTGCGGCCAAGATTATTGTACTTACATAGCGACGTGCATGCATGTGTATGTGTGTGGCTGCTTGTACTAGTCTGGACTGATGCCGATTTATAGTGCTAGCTCACTGAGATACCATGCCGCAGTTTAACATGAATACAGTTTACTGACTCTGAGCCAGACAGTCCTTCTTTTAAACCCTAAATGCCGAGCGCGAGACAGGGTAACAACAAGTACCATCTTTTAATGTTTTTGGGAATAACGCAGCCGGGAATCGAACCCTGGACTTTCTGCTCTCTGGGCGGACGCTCTACATCTAGACCATGGAGGCGGTTTCTTCGCAAGGGAGGTGGATGATAGTTCCATCTTGCCAGGTCTACAACCAGGTGCGCACAGGCCAGTAAGGTGCGATCAAAATCAGTTGTAACTGTTTTGTTGATGTGATCTTCTTGATTACCTGTGGTAGAAGCGCTGTTGGTGGAAACACGTAGGCGTTGTGATTCTCCCATAATATGGCCAGAGTGACGAACTCCCATGCCTCTAGATCTGGAATTGGAGAGACACAACAAGTCGACCTCTGGGTGGTGGTAGAGGTGGCAAATCCCCTCGAAGGTCTTTGGGTGTAGACGCCATTTTGTTGAGGATGGTCCGGATAGGTAGTCTGCTGTGACATTGGTTATTCCTGGAATGTGTCAAGCTCAGAGGTTGATGCCCAATTGATCAGTCGATACAAGTCCATCATCAGAAGGGAAGCTGACAAGGTCGATCCCATCTTGTTAATATACCAGACAACTGAGGTGTTCTCAGACTGTATCATCAAACGAGATGATCAAAGTACTTCTGCCCAATGAGAGATCACTAGAATGACCACCTTGAATTCAAGATTGTTGATATGAAGGGTCGATTCTATTGCTGACCAACGTCTAGAACTTTGTTGATATTGCAGCTGTGCTCCCAACCTTACTGTCAACGCATCCACGAACAAGTGGTGTGTTGGTAGAAAGGTTCCTGTGTAACTCCTGAGCAGACGTTTGTTTTTGATAACCACCATTGTACATGGCCATAGAGGTGCAATGGGAGCTGAATCAGGACCTGACAATCGTCGAACTGAAGATACAATGTGAGGAAGCGCTGAACGGGCTGTAATTGGAGTCGACCTATCTGGGTGATTGCTTGTGCCGAGCAACTGCTGCCTTCTCATAGATGTAGCGACTGTCTGAATGCTCAAGGTACAAGTCGTATCTTTGTCCATATGTTCGGAGGGACGAACATCTTCCCATGATCGGTGTCGTAAAGTGCTCTGATGAACTGTATTTGCTAAGTGGGGTGGTTTCCGACGTTTCTGTGTTGACTAGCCAGCCGAGCTGATGGGCTAGGACTTTCCAGTCGGTGTGACCCTGAATGCAATTGCCGATGAATGACTTAGAGACGATCCCTCTGACGTTTAGGAACTTTGTAATGTCAACCTTGGAAAATAAACTGGAGGTAATGCCGGCGCTTGTGGTGGATGGGCATGTGGAGGAAGACGTCTTGTAGATCCAGACTGACTTGTCGAATGATAGTGAGAGACGGACTTCTTACGCAAATGAGCCTGTTTCTCTAGGTACATATGCAGCGCTTTGAACAGCTTCATGTTGAAGATCATGCTGAATTTCTTGTTGTCTATTTTCACTACCAGAAATATTGGCGAGTAGAACCTTGGGGTTCTGGGACTTGGGGCTAAACACCCCAGAGCATGCTTGGATATCAATGTACCTTTTGTAGGGCTTGATCGATCAGAGTAGAGGTAAGGCTGGTCGATGTAGAATCGACTGAAAGTTGATCGGGTCTGAGAAGATAAACATATTTCGGTGGACTGGACAAACTTTCCTGCCAGCACCATACATCTGTCTGACGTATTTTATGACTGGAAGTATATTTTAGTTGGTGGATTGCTCTTCGACAGTGAAGAACCAGCGGGAACTTCATAGTGTAGAAAACTGTAGACAACAGCAGCATAATGAGGAACCAGTCGAAAATGTGGCGGCACTTCATGCAGGCTGGACATTTGGCTTGGTCTTTACTCGTATTATGCGCAATTAGTACCCCAAAACTCCCGTAATTTTGAGAAAATAAAAGGCCTAAATATTCTCTCTAAAAAAAAAGTATGTCTCCACAGGGAGGCAAAAATAAAGAGAATAATGAGGCAGTCAATGGACCAGAGTGAGGACAGTGTGCTGCACAAGATCTGAGTGCATGACCTAGATACTGGGGTGGTTATCATGGTGATGCTTGGGTGGCTGGACAAATAAAGCTTAGAAGCTGGAAACTTTGATCAAGGACGTTTCCACGCAAGGGATCGAAAAAGAAGGAGGAATGCATAGAGTGAGATAGGATAAGTTTAAAAATATGTATAATATAAAGCCGAATTGTGATTAAAAACATTTTGATATTTTGTTTTATTTGTCTTTTTGGAGTAGGCTTTGCTTGTCGTCTAACACTTCACCCAGCAATATTCCAATATCTGTCAGCAAATACTCAAGTCTGGACCAGACAAATCCAGTGATTGACACCATGAGCAACAATATACGAATAGACCAATTCGGTCACCTCTGATGACCAGCAATATGGGGTTCTGGGTCCCAACAAGACTAGATAGTAGTGGCTTGCATCGATTTGGTCACTGGATTACCAGAGTTTGCATTTGCCACTGTTGAGCCATCAAATATTATCTGGACACGCCATGGGTGGACCATCAATGCAGCTTATGGTGGCAAACCTATGGCCCAGTTAACATGGTTAACACACTACATTTTCACAACGCTGTGGTAAGGTTGTGGATTGTTAACGTTTTTGAGATAATATTTTCACAACGTTATTGTTACATTTAGGAGATAAACATACTGTGTTTTCAATGTAGAGCTAGGTTACCTGTAGATTAAACTGCGCTAAATTGAATTTGGAACCGATTCTACCATGACTAAATAAAACGTGAACTCTTTGGTGTTAGCAAATATACTGAGTGAAGCGGGATGGGTTGAGTCAAGTGTTTTGCGTGGGTTATCGATCTGAACAAAATATGGTGCTGTATATACTCAAGCAGTTTGTTTACACCGTAATACCTCACTCGAACAAATGACAGTCATTGAAAGCATATAAGCACGGCAATTTGGTAAGCTAGCATGAGGTGGGCATCCCTAAATTAAACAAAGCAAGCTTTGCAAGGCTTTCGCTCTACATAGCATGTCCCCATTATGATGTCATATCACTCATTGTGACGCAAAAGATATGACGTCACAGTCGTATATAGAAATTCCAAGCTCTCTGTTGTGCCCTTTGTAGATTTCTATCGTGTTTTCTGCATGAAATGTATTGCCACACATCCTTTGAATACTGTAGTAACCGCATCTGTGCATTTTGTAACCTGTAGGTATAATTATTTAAACATGCCTACCTACACTGACTGAAATTAGTACTATTCTATGAATATTAGCTACCGCAGTAATACGGCCGTCAAACCAGCTGGGGGTTGATTGTGATTTAATTTCACAATGTAATAACATCGTTGCACATTTATACTATAAAAACATTGTGCATCGGACATCACACAACATTCTTGAAATGTTGCAAATTCATACAGTTTGCTTCATGATAGTCATAGGAATAGAAGAGTTTCATCAAATCAACTTGATTTCATCAGAAAGCCATGGCAGTAATGCATTAATTTCTAAAATATTCAGCATTTTAAGGTTTTCAGCATTTAAGTATGTACTTCAAGTACAAATCATGGCTATATACAACTTTGCAGATTTGGATAGATCCTAACGTCATTAATGCAAATATTGTATTCAAACATTCGAAAGCAGTGCATAGGTAAGGCTTATTTTCACTTTTGTCCTGTCTATCAATTTCAAAGGCTGGAACGAACATACAGAGGCACCATATATGGTCTTGTTGGAGGAAATTACCTCCAAAATTACACGCTTGATTACAAGCACGCCCCTCTGTTCGCACTCAAGCAGGCGAGCCTCCCTTCTTGGCAAAGCAAACCTTTTCTTCATCCTCTTAAACATTCTCCTATCTACAATTAAGCAATGAAAGGTTGTCCACATACTTCACAGCGAATGACATCGATGATGCTGAGAAGCAATTGAACATTCTGCTAAGTGTAGTTGGAGCTAAGACATGGACTCATGAGAAATCTCATTTCTCCCGCTAAACCCACATCCAAGTCATTCGCTGAACTAGTGAACCTAATGGAAACTCACTACAATCCAAAACCACCGATGATCGTGCAGCGGTTCAAGTTAAACATGTCCTGTCGTCAATCAGGTCAGTCAATCTCCGCATTCGTCACAGAGTTAAGACGTATCGCGGAACATTGTGAATATGTACTTAGTTTGGAGACCATGTTGAGGGATAGTGAGTGAGTGAGTGAGTGAGTTGGGTTTAACGCCGCTTTTAACAGTATTCCAGTTATATCGCAGCATGTCAGCTTAATGTGGGAGGAAAGCCCGAAGTGATGCAGGTCTCAGACGTTTACCACTTCGGTGAAACCCACGAGCACGGGCATGGTGCTGACAAACCTAGAAACATAATCGGGGCGAAACAGGATTTGAACCCACAATCATAGGTTTCTGGCGTGCCCAAGGGATGCAACTCTGCACAACGAATCGCTGCGCCTTAGACGACTGGGCCACCCATGCCCCCTGTTGAGGGATAGACTAGTATGTGAGGTAATGGATGACCGCATTCAACGTAGACTACTCTCAGAGACTGACCTAAATTTCAAGAAAGTACTCGACATTGCGCTAGGCATCGAAAATGATGCAGGGGGAAAGAAATCTGGGAAACTCTCTCCAAACAAGTCTGCACATGACGCTGAACAAAAACCAGCAGATACAAAGTACAAGTGCTACAGGTGTGGTGATAGTTCTCATAAGTCCGACAAGTCAGCCCTCTAAGTGGCGACCATTTTAGTTGCCAATGCGACCTTATTTTATGATTGGCGCCCTAAATTGATCTACCAGTCGCCACATGGCTGGCTACCTTATCTTAAACCCAGTTGGCGACTATTTTGGAAATTTACGTAGAGCCATGTTTTTCGTACATGTTCGCGATCGTATAACGAAAGTTCTCAGTTGTCTGCGGATTTGCACGAGTGATTCCGAAAGTTATTACGGACATACACAACGTCGTTATAGTAACACACGCCAAAATGGCGGACGGCGATCGCAGCCCTCTGTTTCCATTATTAAGGCCTAATGAGCGAAACAACCCAACAAAAAAGAAAAAAAAAATGAAAATTGGAAACACCGAAAACAGAAGCAAAGCGTAAATTCAAAACAGAATGGTTGTCAACCTACACATGGCTTAGATATGACGATGAGAAAATGACATGTGCGTACTGTGTTGCCAATCCATGGATCGCGGGCAAAAGTGATTTTGTCACCGGTAAATCTGGTACTTTCAAAGTGGAATCACTGGCCAAATATAATTCAAGCCAAAAGCACCAGTATTGTCATGACGTCTGTCTTAACCGACAATTGAAAACAAAGTAGGCCGTGGGCTAGGTATGACCCACGAGCACCCCCCCCCCCACATCCAAACCACACTAAAAAAATTTAAAGCCCATAAACATACTACCAGGTAAACATGACTTTTAATGTTAACAAGAAAAAAGTTGGGACGAACTTGTTGTTACAGCCTTTCAAAGTATGGTACCCTATATCGCGTTTTCGCCCGGTTTTGCCGTATATCACTTGGGGGTATCATTACGTTTTGGGTTGTCATCTCACTAGTGATCCACTGATCTTCAAGTGTGATATACCACTGGAAGCCATATATAAGTACCTCTCCAGTGAGGTATCAATAATTGGTATTGAGTGAATATGGACCAACCCATGGCAAATCGAACGTCATATATCCAGACAAAACCAAATTCTTCTCGCAGAAACCTTTAATCCGGTATATGTTCTAGGTAAGTGTGCCTGATTCCACTATAATCTTCAAACACATGTTCCAGTACATCTCTTGAAATACTTCTTAACATCTGATGTTACTAGGTGAAAATCTTTTGCACAATTTGGAACAAATTTACTCTTATAATTTCAGAGTAGGATACCCAATATTGTATTCTCGGCTTAGATACATCAGAACAACGCTTGGATGTATGCTCAGGATCTGGCTTGTCATCTTGTGTGTTATTCACCAACCTTGATGTGTTATATACCATAGGAAACCATATATAAACACCATAATTTGATGTAGGCTGATTATTGATCTACTTGTGGACAATCCTACAGAATACTTCTTGACAACTCTGATATCACTCACTTTTGTATGCATATAAGAGGTTCACAGTATAATGCTTTAGTCCATTTCAGAACTTTGAATGAAATGGACCTATGTGTAACATATTCAAGATGGCAACCATAAAGCTGTGCAAAAAAAACTGATCATAATGTAAATGTTATTTATTTCAGCAAATATACAAATCAATTTCTTGGACGCAGGCTTGATATTTTGACAAATTTTGCCATTTCAAGTTGAGTTTCAGATTCTTTAGTACAGCTACTAGTTAAAGTGAATTTGAAGGGGGCACCAATGAAGGTAAAGACGAATTCACTTACTAACATTTAATTCATACATAACTTAGCTACTTGAGTTTCCAATTTACAGAAAATGTCCAAATGCGAATCATCCAAATCGTATATGAATGGCTTGAAATGAACAGGGACCATGCATTCAGAGAAATAAATGATATTCCAATTACATACTTAAGTTTCTCTTACAGAATACCCAAGTTAATATATATGGAAATGTCCCACCTTGTAACAATGTCATCACCGTGATTATGTGTCTTTTGAGGTTGAACTGTTGTGACTGAGACCAACATCTTATACAACCGGGAACAACTCGAAGACAGCTTTGACATCTCAACCTAAATGGAAATGTATCCCCAGTGATCCAGAGCCTGTGTACATCATACACGTACCTGGCTTGAAGTATGGCCCACTACAATGTCTGAGCAAAGCCAAAGATCCTGATGAGAAGATGGAAAAGCTGAAGGAGAGATCAAGCGTAGAAGGATGGCAGAACCTCAAGAAATGCAAAATCAAATGTAAGTGTCATGTACAAGCCTGCCAGCAGTTATGGAAGAAACCCATGGCTATCACAGAGAATATTATTAGCGTTTTACAATGAACCTTGACCGTTTGAAACAACCTGAAATTGAATCTTTGGAACTAGCTGGCCACCCATTTCGGCGTCATTTCTGTTGATAACTTCCGACACTGATGTCATGGCTTTCTTGTGTGCCTCTTCTATTTGATGCTGTCTAAGTTGTTCCTATGGTTGAGAGCTCTGCCATTTCTCAGGAATCTGTATGTAACCAGTTCGGCAAGACTTGTGATATTTTGCTTCACAGGTAAATAGGTCCTTCCCTCTGATCCGCAGCAGGAGAGAAAGATGCAGTCAGGTTGGAAGATAACGGGCTCATAGGATGGACGCCGAAATGGGTGGCCAGCTAGTTCCAAAGATTCAATTTCAGGTTGAATCAAACGGTCAAGGTTCATTGTAAAACGCTAATAATATTCTCTGTGATAGCCATGGGTTTCTTCCAGAACTGCCGGCAGTTGGTGCCCCCTTCAAATTCACCTTAACTAGTAGCTGTACTAAAGAATCTGAAACTCAACTTGAAATGGCAAAATTTGTCAAAATATCAAGCCTGCGTCCAAGAAATTGATTTGTATATTTGCTGAAATAAATAACATTTACATTATGATCAGTTTTTTTTGCACAGCTTTATGGTTGCCATCTTGAATATGTTACACATAGGTCCATTTCATTCAAAGTTCTGAAATGGACTCGAACATTATACTGTGAACCTCTTATATGCATACAAAAGTGAGTGATATCAGAGTTGTCAAGAAGTATTCTGTAGGATTGTCCACAAGTAGATCAATAATCAGCCTACATCAAATTATGGTGTTTATATATGGTTTCCTATGGTATATAACACATCAAGGTCGGTGAATAACACACAAGATGACAAGCCAAATCCTGAGCATACATCCAAGCGTTGTTCCGATGTATCTAAGCCGAGAATGCAATATTGGGTATCCTACTCTGAAATTATAAGAGTAAATTTGTTCCAAATTGTGCAAAAGATTTTCACCTAGTAACATCAGATGTTAAGAAGTATTTCAAGAGATGTACTGGAACATGTGATTGAAGATTATAGTGGAATCAGGCACACTTACCTAGAACATATACCGGATTAAAGGTTTCTGCGAGAAGAATTTGGTTTTGTCGGGATATATGACGTTCGATTTGCCATGGGTTGGTCCATATTCACTCAATACCAATTATTGATACCTCATTGGAGAGGTACTTATATATGGCTTCCAGTGGTATATCACACTTGAAGATCAGTGGATCACTAGTGAGATGACAACCCAAAATGTAATGATACCCCCAAGTGATATACGGCAAAACTGGGCGAAAACGCGATATAGGGTACCATACTTTGAAAGGCTGTAACAACAAGTTCGTCCCAACTTTTTTCTTGTTAACATTAAAAATCATGTTTAGTATGTTTATGGGCTTTAAATTTTTTTAGTGTGGTTTGGATGTGGGGGGGGGGTGCTCGTGGGTCATACCTAGCCCACGGCCTAAAGCCTTTAGTGCAGAGTGTTCGGCGTTTGGAGGAAATAAATTCAGAAAAAATCAAAAACGATTTGATGATGAAAATGAACACTGCATTTACTGTGGCTGCAGAGGAACTACCTTCACAAAATTCAAAGGTCTATTAGCTCTGCAAAAGAAAAATGGGTTGGATGTTTTGTACACCTACGCAAACGATGTTAAATGTGCCAAAATGATTGCAACTATTGCAATAGAATGAAGTCTGATGTGGCTAACACTGTGAATAACAGCAGGTACATATCAGTGATGTTTGACTCTGCAACTGACTGTTCAATCAAAGAGACAGAAGCTGTTGTAGTTAGGTGCTTGGGTTCTGATGGAAAGCCTGTAAATAAATTACTTGGCCTTGTTGAACTGCAACACGCTCACGCTGATGGTATCATTGACGCTATCTCAAGTCAATTTATGGACATAGGCAAAGATGAGTTTAAGGAAGATTTAGTTTCCTTCTGTGCAGATGGAGCAAGTGTGAACCATGGTAAAAGAGGTGGAGTGAGGGGCAAGCTGAATGAAACCTGTCCATGGATCATTGGCATTTGGTGTTTGCCACACAGTTATTTTTTTTCTTCATGAAAAATGTGAAAATGACAATATTGTTAACGCATGAAATTTAGACTAACATAGAAATTTAATTCAGAATAATTAGGGCTCCAAGCCGAAAGGCTGGAAGCCCTATTGTACTGGGCCGATATATTATTTATTAGGGCTCCAAGCCTGAAAGGCTATAGAGCCCTATTGTAATTGTTGTGTTTGTTATTATTATTATTCTTTTTCCGCCGTTTTTTGTACCAGACCTACAAAAACAACCAGTGGCCAGAATGGCTTCAAAATCGACAGCAACATCGGCACCAACGTGACGCAGATACCAGCAAAAACCCAAGGCCATAGGCCCAATGGCTAAGGGCAGATAACTCATCAAAGTTTCAACTTCAGCAGCAATAATCTTCGAAACTAATTGTCCAATGACTTCCAGATTTGCCATGCGGCAGCGCATCAGATGCCCATCATTTTTAACTGCAGGAGCATGGTAGCTACAACGCACCGTTTGGCAGCCATATTGGATTTAAAGGTTTTGGCACTTCTTTTCACCATTTTTCTCAGTACTTGTCTCCCAAAATCTGCTCAGCTCAAACTACCAGCTCAAAAGCTTCCAAACTTTCCATACTTTGTGTCCAAGTACCATTCTACCAACTTCGGAGAAAAAATACTAAGGTCAAAAGTCATGCATTTTCCTGATACCTCATGTCTTGGCCATTTCGCCCAAATTTCGTGTGTATGTAAACTGGGCCTGTTCATAGTCATGCCTAATTGTAGCCACGTCGCATTGAAGGATAGGAAGAGAACAATGTGAACAGAATTCATCTATAACAACAAATTTTAACCTATTGTACCTCACCATATCATCCAATAAGTGTCAGACTAGTCACGCATTAGTATTTAAATATGCAGTTCGATATTGACGTTTTACATACAGCAAACTGTGATCTGACTGTGAAAATGTCATTTTGTGGGGAAAACAATCAGATTTTACGACACTTCAAACTTGTTCAGTAAAGAGACTGAAAGAAGCGTCCTTGCTCTTGACTCTATATTCGGTAAACCTGTGGTATATGTTTGTGGATTTGTGAACAAGTACGTTGGCTTTGTGTATAATTTTCAGCGAACTGCGATTGTGTTCATCCGCTGTGGAGTGCCGAGATCAGTTGTCTGTTACTTAGATACAGTGTACATTCTGCTTGTGAACAACACAAGAAGAAACGGACAATAGAAATCTATTTTTGAAGCAGTGAAAGAAGCTGCAGTAATATTTCGGAATAAGCCCCGTTCACAGCATTTCAATCTACTTAGAACACTGATAACGTGCTCGCAATGGACTTCTCCAATAGGCATACTTATTTCTTAAATTAGTACCGACACGGTGATGTTTGAGATGTAATGTTGTGCCCTGTTTCCTGGTGAACTGCAACTGTGTTCTATGGCTATGGTTTTTGGATTACAGCTTAGCTACTACTGGTCCGATTTCGACCAAATTCCGTGCGTGTATGTACACTGGGCTTGCCCATAGCCATGTTTAATTGTAGTGGCATAGAATCGAAGGCTACGGAAAGAAACATGAAACAGGATTCATCTATAACAACATACTTGAACCTATTGTACCTCAGCAGATAATCCAATAACTGTCAGACTAGGCACTTTTTAGTATTTACTCATCCGAATCATACATTCACCAAACTGTGATCTGACATGTTTTGAAAATGTTTTTTCGGGAGAAGGGGGACAAAGCGATTTTATGATGTTTCCAACTGGTTCATTAAAGACACAGAAAGAAGCAGCAGTAAAAATTACAAACAAACCCTGTTTGTTATTTGAAAATGCTATCTCCAAAAGGCATATTTATTTATTTGCATAATACAGGACAATGTGATGTCTGTTCTGTGATTCTGTGTCCTATTCCCTGGTGAACTGCAACTGTGTTATTCCTATGGTTTACCGATTTCACTAGCGGCAGAGAGACATACTTATCTATAGAAAGCATGTGCGTACAACATGTCAACATGCTGATTTGGCTATGTCCGAAGGTGGTATTCTCGGCAGTGATGCAGGGTCGTGCATCGATGGTATAGCCCCATGGACAAATAAACTTCGAACATATTGTGTATAACCACCCAAACCCTGCTTCAGCCGGCACTGACTAGGTGTATTTCATGGTAAGGGCCGGCCAGCCAGCCACTGTAACACTATAGCCAGACTGCAGTAACGCTATATTGCGGTGATTGACTTACTTGTACCAGTCAATGCACTCAGTAAACTGCATTGTTCCCCAGGTCTTTTGTTTGCGTTTGACCCCATCGCTTTTCTCGGTTAATACAAACTTTGAACACATGATCCATAACCACCTAAATACTAATTGCTTCAATGAGCACTCAGGATAGATAATATGTATAAGAGTGTACAGTAGTGCATATATCCTTCCATATACCGGAAGTGACTTATGAGTCAACTGGGATAATTGTCTTAAAAGTAATCACCTTGAGCCATTAAAAACTCATTTTCATTGGTTTAGTTCTCTGTGTAACCAAAGTAAGATATTGTGAAATGCACTACCATGAATGTAAACAAGCATCAGCACTTATATTTGATATCGCTTGGAGCCCGCATCGCTGCTTGCAACTATATTTATTATTATTAGGGCTCCCTGCCTACTAGGCAAGAACCCTATTGTAATTGTTCGATTTATTATTTATTATTATTTATTATTCCAGCGTTTTTTGTTCCAATCGTAACTAAAGAACCAGTAGCCAGAAACTCTTGAAACTTTGCAGCAAGATACCTTAGGTCCTGAAGCAGATACCACAAAAATTACAAGGCTCTAGGCTCAAGGTTGTTTGTTG